CTTCCTTTCTTTCTTTCTTTCTTTCTTTCTTTCTTTCTTTCTTTCTTTCTTTCTTTCTTTCTCTTTCTTTCTTTCCTTCCCTCCCTCCCTCCCTCTCTTTCTCTCTCTCTTTCTTTCTTTCTTCTTTTATTCCTTCTGTACTGGGCTTGAATTCAGGGCCAACGTGTTATGCCTTACCATTTTCAAAGCTGGCTGGCACTTTAATCACTCTATCACTTGAGCCATAGCTCACCCAGCTTTTGGGTGGTTAATTGGAAATAAGAATCATATGGATTTTCCTGCCTGGGCTGACTTTAAACCTCAGTTCTCAGATCTTTGCCCTGAGAATAGATAAGATTACAGGCATGAGCTACCTGTACACTGCTAAGGCTCTGCCTCTTAGTTGCTAAATTAGCAATTAAGTTTCAGCACATGAATTTTGGAGGACATGCCAAGACCATAGCATCACATCCCCCAACTACAAAACTGATCCCAACAATTTACAGATAAAGACATTTCCCGAGTCCTCCTTTGTTTCTTCTCTTCCCTATCCTCCAAAAGTTTATCAGCTGATCATATGGCAGTTTTTCAGCAGGTCAGTTCTCCTGCCTTGCTTCCTCAGTGGGGTCTAAGCATTGATGCAGGTGTGGGGAAGTTCAGCCTCCCAAGGAGTCAAAGGATTCAAGCCTATGTGCCTGAAAAAGCCTGTGATTTTCCTGCCAAATTTTCTGGTTTCTTTCCAGTACACCTGGTTTCTAACCTTTAGAAACACTTGAAACCTATCCATCACCCACCTTGGGAACAGCTGTACCCCAGAATGAAGGAGACTTGAATGGGAAAAGATCATATAAAACATCTAGTCTATCCTGACCTTTCATCTTCCCTGATATGTTGCCAATGAGGAACCTAAGATGCAGAGGACAAGTGACTTGACAATGTGGTGAGCTGGTGGGCGACATGGTCCTGAAATCAGGTTCTTTGATGTTCAGTGTGGGCTTGTACATAAGAAAGCTCCACACTAGGCTCCCGAGCTCCCTTCATCTCCCCCAAAATTCTTTTACTCTGGAGGTGAACAAGGACAGTGCTAGAGGAGAGGACTGAAGAGGTAGCATTAACTTTTTTTCCTTTTTTAGTGTTAGTAGTGGGGCTTGAACTCAGGACCTGAGCATTGTCCCTTAGCTTTTTCACTCAAAGCTCATGCTTTATCACTTGAACCACAGTTCACATTCAGCTTTTTACTGGTTAATTGGAGATGAAGTCTCTTAGATTTGTCTGCCTGGGTGGTCTTTGAACCATTATCCTCAGATCTCAGCCTCCTAAGTAGCTAGGAGTACAGATGTGAGCCACCAGAGCCCAGCTACCTTCTGGCAGCATGCTGATAAGCCCAAGTGACTTCACTGTTGGGTTGATGGGTGGTCAGAGAACCTGGCCAATCCCTTCCAGCCTTCTAGGAAACAGGAATGTCCTATCTCCAAGGCCTCTGGCCACTGGAGTTTTAGAATAAAGAACTTTGATACTGGCTACTACTGGTTCATGCCTGTAATCCTAGCTACTCAGGAGGCTGAGATCTGAAGATCTCACTTCAATGCAGGAAAGTTCATAAGATTCTTATCTATATATAAACTACCAAAAAGCAGGATTTGTCTTGTGGTAGAGCACTAGCCTTCAGCACAAAAGCTCAGGGACAACTCCCATGAGTTCAAACCCCATGACTGACACCTGCCCCCCCAAAAATGAAGCTCAGCCCAAGTCCTGAGTTCAAGCTCCAAGCCCTGCACAGACAAACAAATAAGCAAAATAAGACAACACAAAAAGAACTTTGATATCTCACAAAGAAAGTTGCTGCAGTGATTCTTACTTGGTTGAATCAATAATTTAAAAATAATTAGATCAATATGGTACCATTTAGGCAGTAGAATCAGGGTAATATATTGAGTTAATGTCTGAAAGCTTTAGTTTAAAATGAGAAAAGCAGTCCCTGGAAGTCAGGCCTTGATGTTGTAAGCTCTGGTCTGGCCTCCATGTTTTGTCCATAACCATGTTTGGATATAGACAATAAAATCACCAGCCAACTATAAAAATGACCAAATACTGATCTCCCAGACTGTCTAACAAGGATAAATGCTGCCAGAACTGGTGGCTCACTCCTGAGGATCATAGTTTGAACCAGTTGGGACCAGAAAACTCCATGAGAATCTTATCTCCAATATATCTCCAACAACCAAAAAGCCAAAAGTGGAGCTGTGCTCAAAGCATCAGTTTTGAGCAGAAAAAGCTAAAGGACAGCTTCTAGGCCTTTAGTTCAAACTCATTACACACACACACACACACACACACACACACACACACACACACACATGCAGAGTGAATGCTGCCTTTTCATTGGAAAAACTTTTAACTTTGTTCTTTTCTTCTCTTCCTCTACAGGAAATTAAGGTAATTATGATGAAGATTCTGATCAGAAAATTCTCCTGCTACCTGGCAATGTCCAATCTAGAATCCAGCCTGGATTCTCTTGATTCTCTGCAAAGTCCCAATAGGAACCAAGTCCTGTAAATCCATTCTCTCATGGGGGCTTACCTGCATTCTCCTGGGTCTATTCTTCCTCTGGGAAATGAGTCAATAAACTCACTTTTATTTGACTACAGTTGTGTTCCTGAGTGTCTTTGGCTGGAAGTTAAAGATAGCACTTAACATTTATTTAAGAAAATATTTTCAACAAATGTTCACAAACATAATTACTTCTAAAGGGTGAAAGTGAAAGGTAAATCAACTTCTACCCCCAAAACCTAAACTTCCTCTCCCCCAAAGCAATCACTATGACCTACAATAATCTGTGTATACTTATTTATCAGCTGCTCTCCTTCTTTATCAGCTGCTCTCCTTCTTTATCACTACATTGTAGATACTGCCTCCTGTCCATCTGTCTACCCTAGCTGCGACTCTATAACAAACCTATGAACTTTATTAGTCACTGAAATTGTTAAAGTGATCTGGGATAATAAAAGCAAGGAAAGAGCGAACTTGGTTGCTGATGGTAATTTCATTTCCAGAGAAACATATTAGTTGCTTTTGATTTTCTATTTTTTTGTAGAGCAGCGTATTATTATTTATAGAAGTTGTAAGGTTTCTTTTTGTTATTGTTGTTTGTTGTTTTTGGAAGCAAAGTGTCAATCGACTCCAGGTTGGCCTTTAACACTCACAATTCTCCTGCCTGTCTCCTGAGTATTGGGATTAGAGATATGCATTGCTATGCCCAGCCAAAGTTACAGCTTTTATAATAATGAAGGATATCTTTGCTTGTAAGTCTATAACAAAATGTGCAAGACTAGGTAACTTATAAAGTATAGAAATTGCCGGGTGTCAGTGGCTCACACCTACAGGTAGCTACTCAGAAGGCTGAGATCTGAGAATCTTGGTTCAAAGTCAGCCCGGGCAAGGAAAGTCCATGAGACTCTTATCTCCAATGAACTACCAGAAAACTGGATGTGGTGTTGTGGCTCAAGTGGTAGAGCCTTGACTGAAGAGCTGAGAGACAATGCCCAGGCCCAGAGTTCAAGCCCATGACCTACAAAAACAAATAAAGCACAGAAATTTAGTTTCTCACAGTTCTGGAGGCTGAAAGTTTGAGGTCAAGGTGACAACAAGTTAAGGCTCAATCTCTTAACTTTCAGACAATACCTTAAATTCTGTGCCCTATGGAGGAGAGGAAAGCATGGTGGAAAAAAATCGAAACATAAGAGAAAGGAATGTTGTACAAGCCTTCCCTTCTTTTTATGGTAGTGGAGCCTGATGCTTTCTAGGTAGACATTATATCACTTGAGCCATGATCCTGGCCATTTTTGCTTTAATTATTTTTGGATAGGGTGTTGTGTGTATGCCCAGGTAGGCCTATACCACAATCTTCTTATTTACACTTCCTATGAGGCTGCAATGATGTGTGTACCACTATGCACAACTATTGGTTGAGATGGAAGTCTCACTAACTTTTTGCTAGGGCTGGTCTCAAGCTATAATCTTCATGATTTTTGCATCCTTGGTAGCTGGGATTAAAGATGAGAGTGAGCCTTTGTGTTCCCTGAGGCTTCTTTTATAAAGGCCTTAATCTCACTCACGTGAGGGAGCAGCCTTCATCATCCCACTGTGAGAACACACCCAGCTTTAGTTCAGCAGATTTTGTGAGAAATCAGTCCCTTTAGAAATAGGTCAGGAGACAAGACACACTCCCTTTAGCATCCAAGGGAGTCAACCTGGTTGACTCAGGAGGCTGAGATCTGAGGATCATGGTTTGAAGTTAGCTTGGCAAGCAAGTCCATGAGACTCATCTCCAATAAACCACCAAAAAGCTGGAAGTGGAGCTGTGGCTCAAGTGGTGAAGGGCCAGCCTTGAGCAAAAACCTAAGGTACAGTGCCCATGGCTTGAGTTAAAGCAAAAAAAAAGAAAAGAAATGAAGAAAACAGAAGAAGGAAGGAAGGAAGGAGGAAAGAAGGAAGGAAGGAAGGAGGAAAGAAGGAAGGAAGGGAGACCTGGGGCTGGGAATATGGCTTAGTGGTAGTCTATTTGCCTTGCATGCATCAAGCCCTGGGTTTGATTTCTCAGTACCACATAAGCAGAAAAAGCCGGAAGTGGTGCTGTGGCTCAAATCGTAGTGTGCTAGCCTCGAGCAAAAGAAGCTCAGGGACAGTGCCCAGGTCCTGAGTTCAAGCCCTAGGACTGGCAAAGAGAAAGAGAGAGGTGGGGGGAAGCACGAAGGAAACCCACACTATTTCCACTTTCCCTCCTTAAGAGTCAAGTCCAAACACTACTCTTTTTTTTTTTTTCTGTTTATTTTTTTTTTTATTGTAAAGATACTATACAGAGGGTTACAGTTACATGAGTGAGGTAATGAGTACACTTCCTCTTGAACATTGTT